TTCATTTATAGTGGTAGTAAGCTGTAAGGTAGTTTTCAAATTGAGGACACCATTTTAATGAGCTTTGAACCCAAATCCTGGGATCCTTCCTCACTGGAAGCAATAACAGTTTTGGAACGTGAACATGTCTACTGTAGATAAATGATTAATTTAAGCTCATAAAACAAAGGTTCTCTTACTGTAAGAACTTGTCATGGTTGATTTTTGAAGGTCACTTTCTACTATGGCTGCACTGAAGTCTTCCTTATGAAAGGAAGGATCATAGCTGAACTGATGTGGAAAATAAAAAAGGGCAAAAAGAAGCTGCACTAAGACTTGTTGAGGCTATCAGAAATCCCCTTAGAGAATATGCAAAATGAGCCCTTCTTCCCCATCTTACCTAACTGGTTTATCTCTCTGCATATTTGCACTGTTTTTTTTCTGCTGAGGTCAAAATATTGATGAAAATTAATCTGGAATAACGAGTTAAACTGAGGTAGTTGAGGTATTCCTAAAATGAGTAGGTATACTGTCTTTGCCCATGCATTTCGTTCAGAAAAGTAATCTGAAATGACATTGCTTTGTCCTGCTAAGTTGGGATGGCCTGAACGAATGCACCAGGGCTTTGTTGGTAGCTTCCTGCATATAAGCACAATGTATATATAGAGAGTCCTTCTTCAGGTACTTTGCCCAGGCTTCTGTTTGCATAGTTTGACTGTTTACAGGGGTGCAACCCTAGCTCAAAAGATACGTGAGACAAAAAGGTAGAAGATGCCTGATGGCCTTGGCTGGGTCAGATCCCAGCACATTCCATCAAGAGCTGGGCGAAGAGGCAGGGTAAACGATGTTGGGATTCTCTGATTCTGAATTACATCTCTTGACTGTGATCATACTCGTGCCCCAAAGAGGTTAAAAGCTGATGGGCTATAGCAAAATGATTATTACATATCATTTTAAAACAGCATAAATAATGTGTTTTCCTTGTAGTTGTCATCTGATCTGACAACTCGCTTAAGGTCAGGTGACAATCTTGCATTTGTTAGCAGTCATTTCCCATGTGAAAGTCCAGAGCTGGTACGTAATCTAAACCCCATATTTAACAGTTAGCTCACTGCTAAAAGCATTACTCCTCTGATAGTTTGCAGCATGTGATGGCTTCACGACGTAGTGGCTCTATTTACAGTGTGTTGCTCTGTGTTACATGCTGCTAGCCATCTGCAAAGTGCACTGTTGCTTGTTATCATCTGCTTATGGGCATTAAAAAGACTAATGGGCCAGATTCTCCTTTGCAGAAAAGCCTCTTTATGCCACTCAGACCAGCTTAAAATGGACTTTAACTGGAAGTAATATAATATAGTCTTATTTATGGTCCATCTGTACTTCCTGTATTATGTGAGGGACTTCAACATAAATGAAGATGAGGTCATTGGGAATCTGGTCCTGTTTAGCTGCTAGGTGGACAAAGGAACTCTAAAGAATATTAAAAGTAAATCACTCAGCTTTCCAGTACTGTGAATATCAGTCCTTAAATTCAGTCTGTCCACAATCCATCTTGCCTGCCTTGTATAGAGCACAGAAGGAACAGATGCTTCTGGTGTGGAGCAGAACCCAGGCCTGTTACCAGAATCAAGCAGAAAAAGTTAATGCCATTCATAGAGTGTATGAGCAGAAAGCTGTGGGTTGTGTTGTTGTTGTGTTTATTTGGCAGAGAGCAGGCTATTTTCTGCCCTGAATTCTCCTAAGAGGTAAATCCCATCAGAGGGCCTGCTAGAACCATTTAAGGACAGACCTGTGGAAAGCTGTGGAGTAATTAATTTGATGTGGTCTATCTCTTGTTGGCTCACAGGCACTGTGGCCTCCAGTGTCTCTGGACCAAAGAACAGTCTATATGCATGCTTGCTATGGGACTGTCAGGCTTGGGATCAACAAGGGGAGAGGGTAGGATCTGTCAGAGATTTGAGAAGGAATAATGCCAAGAAACCAGGCGTTGGAAGGAAAATTGCCTGTCTGCTATGGCTGCTTTTGTAAAAGCAGGCCCATTTTTGCAAAAGGTTCTGAGTCTAGTAATTTGCTGAAACCTGATGAAACAAGATGTTTCTCAAATTGTCCCATTGGTGCTGCTCTTGGTGCTCATTTCCTGGCCTTTATCACTTGTGAGAGTGCTGCTTCTCCTTGCCTGTGTCTCTTGCTTCTGGCTTCTATGTGCACTAAGAGGAAATGCTTCAGCAGATAACTATTTTTTCTGTCAACTGCTTCTTTATCTATTTTATTACGTTGTCTCTATACTGCCAAATTCTAGCATGCACTGTTCACTACTCTATCATATCCCTCAGCTGCAGGGAACTAAATCCACGTTGTACTCAGACAGGAGAGTTGTAAAAGAAATGCATCAGCACAACATCAGCTTGTCTGGAAATTGTCACATACCTTGGTGACTGTGACTCTTGGGGGAAGATAGTAATATTAGTGGTGTAAAGACATTTATAGTCAACCATGCGCTCATACAGAGTCCTCCTGTGATGCTGCTGACAGGTAATAGCATGCAGTGCTTCAACACAAGAGGACAGTTGGAGGCTTGGGAGTTTTAATGCCAGCAGAAGGAGAGTGCAGAGAAAAAGGTTCCATCAGACCTCTTTTTTGTTGTTTTTTGTTTTGTGTGTTTAGACTTCAGTTAGAAATGTCACCTAAAGCTGCTTATTCACACCACTCCTTCATCCTCAAAAATTTTAGCTTTGCCAGGGATGGAGAACTGAGGCCTTGTGGAATTTTTCCTCCTTGCACTCAGAATTCTCTAATCAGTATGTTTATTAGTACTCAGTACTGAAGAGAGGTGGGAGAACATCTGTCTGGAAACCTTTCTTTTTGAAAGAAAAACGTTCTTCTGCAATGTTGACCGGGTGAACTCTTTAAATAGAGTAGCACACAATACAGTCTTTTTGCAACACTTATTTGGGGATACCTGTAACTCGGCAACATTGAAGATGTAAATCGAATGTTTGCAATGACTGGGAAAGGTATTTCCCAAGGGAAAGGGAAATATAATAAGGGAATTATTTGTGAATAATAATTATTCACAAATAAAATAATAAGGGAAAGAGTTGAGAGCAAACCTGAAAATGTCACTATGCCACTCTATAGATCTATCATCCATCACTCTTTCATTATTATCCCTCTCATTTCAAAGGATATATTAAAGCTGAAAAAGGTTCAGAGAAGGGCCGTAAGCCTGAAAGTGTTACCATAGATATGGAATGGCCTCTGTGTGAGGAATGATTCAGAAGGTTGTGTGTTTTCAGCCTGGAGAGGAGGAGAGGTGGGTACATAATGTACATATCTATAGTGCATCTAGGCAGTCTGCCTGTTCCCTCCTGGCTGCTTGTGAAGCTGGAGTCTGGCAGTCCAGGATGAAGTAAATGATTTGACTGATTTCATTCTTCTCTGGACCTGAGACGCCACAGAAAACCCTGAAGTCCAGCCTAGGTGCCATAGCAGAGTCACAGAATTGTTTGAGTTGGTAAGGTAGTCTAGCCTCACCCCCTTGCCATCTCCACCTGGACACTGAGCCATTGACCACAACTCATTAAGGGTGACTTTCCAGACAGTTCATTACCCACCATGTTGAATTGTGGTTTGTATTTCTGCAGAACTCCTGCAGAAGTGCGCAGCCTCATACCGTTACAACTTGTTCTTTGCATACACGAACATGAATATGAATTACACAGATGTCTAGAAGCAACATTACCATTTGTTTTTTTCCCCTTGCTGTTTTTTTTCTTGTTTTGAATTGTGCGGATAATTCCCTACAAGAAATTACACCTATGTGTGGCTAGTGTAAACAAAACAGAGGGTCAGTGAGCTGGAACATAAGGTCAGTGGAGTTATCTTATGGATATTATTGCCTCTGGTGCATAAGGGAGATGAGATGATGCTGTAATCTGCAGAGAACTCGTCATTGCATTCTATTGCCATTACTTCATAGCAAAGATTTCTGTTTTTTTTTTTTTCTCTCTCTTTTTATTATCATCTGCATTTTTCAACTTATTACTTGTGATATTCGAATCTCCAAAGGTTCGTGACTGTTTTTGTAACATGTCTTGCCTCTCAAAGTGCTGTTAGCAGCTGCTCTTGAGTTCAGGTTTTGTAGGCTGTCATTTCTGAAATGGTGTTAATCTACAAAAGCTATGACATCCCTTGTCTCTGCAGCCTGCTCAGTTTATTAAACACTATTCTTCCCACAGGGACTATATGTAGATGTTACCCAAAAAACTATCTCATGCTGTAGCAAATGCCATTCCTTTCCTCTGCGATCCTGTTGCAGGGTACCGGTCTTACATTTATTCAGGTAAGCGTTACATGGCTGAGAAATACCTCTCCAAATACATCAGTTTGATAGGTACCTCTTTATTCTGCAGTAGGTGAGTGCAAATGGCCTTGTGAAAATGAATCACGCAGGGAATGAAGCAAGTTTTGTGTGAAGAGCTGTGCAGCTTGTGCAACTCGGGTAAATCCAGTTCTCAGTCTTGGGAGAGTTGTGACTGAGACAGTGTCACCATTAGGATCTGTCACAAGGGTCAGTGCTATGGTTGGGTCTCTTTCTAACCTACCACAGCCAAGTAACTGGAAAACTCTCTGAGAGCAAAGGAATACAGTGTGACTGTAGACCTGACCCAAGGGTGTCCAGGCTCAGCACTGCCCAGTTGATCTCTCCTGGTATTGCCACAGAGGACGACTGAAGAAACAGCAGCTTTTGCAATATTCATTGTCAAAGCGTCCAACTCTGAGCCTCAAATCTAGAGCCTACAATCTTCCAGGCCAGAGCAAAGTCTCTTCTCTCGCTGAGGCATGTGGCTGCCACCAGTAACAGCACGGCTCAGTGGCACCACACGCCTGCCTCTGGACAGCTGCCTGTTCCATCCTGAGTGTCTCTTATTTTACTTTTGATAGAGCATCAGCATCTGCGCTGCTCCCTGTCTGGAATAAATAGATCTTGCCCTGATTAACAAATACCCAGCAAAGCCAGCCAAACATCTAGGGGAAAAATCTATTTTCCTTTCCACTTCCCTCCTTGCATCACTGCTGCATAACAGCTTTTCTCAGCTGCGTACTGTTCTTCCCTTTCCCCACGAGTATGTAACAGCTCTCCTCAGACAGCTGCAAGCTGCTCTCTTCTCATCCCATGAATAAAACATCACGGCCTTACGTCAAGATTAAACTTGCTTGGCTGTGCTTTCTGAACCTTCTGCTTGTTTATTTATTTATTTACAGAGCACAGCACTAATATAATTTAAACACTATACTGAAGACTGATGTTACACAGTTAAAGATTATTTTTTTTTCCACCTTATTGACTGTCTTAAGAGTACTGCTGGGAAATATTATAGCATGTAGTTTATTATTCATGATAATGCTGATGTAGAAGTTTCCTGACTCATCCTTCAACGTTTCTCCGATAATGAAGGAATTTCTTGTCTGTAGCCAGTGTGATATGCCTGAAAGAAATATTGTTGCAATTTGTTAGATTCTACAAATGTTTTATTGTAAATCAGTTACTTTTTAGTCAACAGTAGAACGGGAATTTAATGGGTAAGATGACCAGATGAACTTCTGTGACCACCTAGTTTTGTATCCACAGAAGATCACTTAAAGTATTTCCCTTCAGGAATTCGTTTATGTCTCAATTTAAAGCTCTTTGTCCTAGATGTGACAAATGTTTCTCACTGGGTTTCCCAGAATATGTCTGTTCTTGTCACCAAAAGGAAACTAGCTCACAACTGAAAGCAAGATGGTGAACCTGGTAGATGGATGAGAAAAGTTTTGGGAACAAAATGTGGTTAATATAAGGTCAGGGGTCACCTGTAGCTCCTGAGTGAAGGAAGCAGATATGGCATGGCATTTGGCTATGGCTATGGCATTTTGGCTATGGCATTTTGATTTCTGGATGAGAAATTCACATTTTAATATAAATGCTTTATTTTTCTCCCTCCAAACTCTATCACCAGCTCCATTTGATTTCTCTTTGTATGTGTCTTAAGTCATTACAGAATGCAAGGCTCCTGATCTCCATGAAAACATCCTGTTGACTACAAAGATACTAGTGTTTCATTCTGTCGTATCTCTGTATTCTACACAAGTAATCACATGCTTTGGTCATCTGTTGCTTGTGATTTGCTGGTCCCTGCATCTTTTCCTTATTCTTTGCTATTCTCTCCCATCTGATCAGGATTGAGAGTAGGCTTATAATTCTAATGGGACAATATATCCTGTGTCTTTTCAGGGACTTTCAAGTCCAGCTTTGACCCAGATAGTATAAAGTTTAGATAGGAGATCCACTTTTAAAATGACCTTCATTTGTTAAAGGTCCCAGTTACCCATCTTCCGATATGCAGGGAGGACATATTGGACAGAGACATTTATAGGACTGAAGAAAATATGGCAGTGCTGTCCAAGTTTGGGTCTAGCCAGTTATGGTAAATCTAGTCTTCCAAAATGTGCTCAGAGATGTATATATCTATATGTGTGTAGACATATATGGCAAAAGGCAGGTTTGGGCCCTAAGTGTGTAAAGATCGTTTACCAAAAAGATGATGGTACTTCTTTTAGAAACAGACACTTGATCCAACAGATAAAGCAGGACAGGCAGTGGCCAGGCTGAGCAAAGTCTTGCTTTGCTTCTTAACTTTTTAGCACAATAATTCTATAGGAAGATGGCCAGATTCCTGCAAGAAATTAACAATAGTGGTAACCAAAGCACTGCCCTTTTTGTTGGGTGCAAGCCTTTCTCTTTATTTATGTGTCAAGTTGTATTTTTTATTAAATGATGTTTTTTTTTTTAAGTTGTAGAGATATTGAAACTGAGGTCGAGCAAACAAGAAAAGTGTCATGTTTTATGGGACCAGATCCAATCTGATAAGAAGAATGAAATAAATGGGCATGTGCTAAGCGTTATTGCTACTCGATGCATTATCATTTTGGTTGTGTCAGTGTTTCCATTAGAAATACTCGTCTCAGGGGAATCCAACTGTACATCTCATTTTGGGCTGGAAAATTCCACTTAGAGAATGCTATTAATTATTTAAAACTACACATTCGCTTTTTAGGTCAATATTTTCGAAGTAGTGATTTGCAGTACTCATCCTGAGACAGTTTGGAGAGGGCTGATTTTCAGGTGGTCACTGGAGATAGTCAACTAATCAGAAAAATAACAGTCCTCCCTCTCTGCCCATCCCATTTCCAGGCGTATCTGCTCTAGTTAAATTTCTGAAATATTCATATCTCTGTTCCACTTTTTCTTCCAGCCTTTTCTTTTGATGATGACGAGAAGTTCAAGATAGGTGAGTCAATTTATTTCTCATGAAGGAATAAAAGGCCCAAGAGCAGGCGCTCCCAAGTCACATGCAGATTGATCAAGGCTTGTTTTCTTCTTCCCATGTTTTGTGCACATCCTTACGCTTTCTCAGAAATGGGTGACTGCCCTGAGACAGCACTGCCAGTGCTGAGGCTTTGTTTTTCCTCATCCATTTGTGTTCCAGACCAAGAGGGTAAGCTGAAGCCCAGAGAAATTAGGTGAATTGCATAAGCACTTGTTTCTGGCAGCACAGCAGGTAGCTGTGCAGTTGACAGGCTCTGCTGTACACCAGTGCCTGGTAAAACCATTACAGCTGGTTAGGTTATCATGCGATATGTAACAGGAGAATCATTTTGTTGGCTGTTGGTGAGCAGGAAACCCCCTGGCAGACAGTGGCAATGTGGGATAAACTACAAAGAAGATAGTGTAACTGATTTTATGACATGTGCTACATATTTTTCCCTGAGCAGTGAAGAGAAACCATAACCTCAGACCATCAGAAAACAGCATACGCAGTGGCTCTTTGTATGCATCAGAAGCAGATTAGCAGATGGCAATTTCTGTCCTTAATCTATGAAGCACACTGAAAGTTCAAAAGCCGTGCCTTTACAGAGACATTATTGTGCCTGGTGAAGAGTCTATCTCTTGCCCAAATTAAATAGCATTTGTTTTGATGGTAATAGAAGAAGCGGCTGCCTGTGTTATTCTGAGCAGGCCAATGCACAAGTTCAACACACTGGAATGAAAAAAAGTTCTTCTTTGGGGCATCTGTAAAAACATTTGCATCTTGACAGATCCCTCCATAGCATCTTATTCTGCAGTGAGCTTTGAGACCAGAGTAACAGCACACTTGTTTGTGTTTTCCGTACCGTGAACTTGTTGCCAAAGCAATGGCAGACAGATGTCCTCCCCATCATTGTCTTTTTAATGGCTTTAACGGGCTATTATAAAACTAGTAGTGAGATTTTGTCAGTTCTGATAATAAGAATAACACGTGTTTTCACAGCATGCTTTTCTTGTCGCTGCTGTGTATGCTGGAAATTTATCTATCGTGGTATCCTTTGAGAATTATCTCAAGGAGCATTACTGAAAATAAAAGATGATGAGGATAATGTATGATGTTTTCCTTGGGCAGTAGCTTAGTTAGATGCTATTGGTTCCATATCTAGAGGTTCCCTGTATTTTTCTACCAGAGCAGAAGTTTCATGGCCACTACAGAGCTTTGTCTTAAGCAGCACATCAGTAAAGTGCAATATATGCCTTTGGGATGGTATGAGGGAAGAGGTTTAAAGTTCCAAACAGAGAGGATAGTCTCTGGATATTCCACTGTGTGCTGGAGACAGGATGAAGCCCCAAGAAGTCCTGAGATGAAGATCATCCCCTTTTTCTCTTCTTACCAACAAGTCTCAGCCACAAAAATGGTGAAGAGCGCAGTGTGAAATGCTCTTGATTTTATATCGTTAGTGAATAAGCCAGAAGTATTGATAGAGTTTATTGTCTCAAACCAATAAAACCAACCCTTGGAGTACAGTCACAAAGCTAACAATATAAACTCTTCATGAGCCTTATCAGCTGATTTCACTTTCGAATTAGTCTTAGTAATTTCTTGTCTTGACTTGCAGTTCCATACAGTGCACTGCTTTAGTTATTCTTGAACACAGTAGTCTGTATTTAGAAGCTAGCTTTCTGATTTTCCTCTGAAATAGGAACTGGCTTTGGAATTAGAATGGTAATCTCTGACATTTTGCTTCAAGGTCATTCCAGGATCAGTTTTTCCAGATGTAACTCAATGCATGTAGAGTTGGAGAGAATTTCTGTCTTTAGTGCCAGAGGTTTAGCTAATCAATGCAGATTTCAAATTGCTTTACTCATGTGAATGTTCATCAGGACTTGATAGCTCGAACTTTCGATGTTTTCTTTTTGGCAAGTTGCATGTTTGTTTTCCTCAGCAAAGCAATAAAAATGGTCAGCTACTTAATGATTTCAGTTCTGATGACATTTTGGGATGTTCCATAACGTGATGTTAGTAGAGAAGATTTTTATGCTGTTCAGAGGAGCAGATGTCTTAGTGGTGCCAGTTCCAGAGTTTGCAACAAGAATGGTTAGCATATGTGTTTTATTGCTTAGATGAATACACTGGTCCTTACTGCACTGCAGCCTACTAGAACCCAGTAGGAACAGTGCCACGTAGCAGAAAGCAAAGGGTAGAAGCAGCACTAAGAGACTCCTGTGAAGAAATGTGGTTTCAAAATAGAAGAGCTCTTTATAGGGTCAGCCAACATGAATTTTTGTGAAAGAATAGTGGAAGGGCTTGAGATTTCAGCGTGTTGTGTTGATGGTCATAAGGAGAGAAAGATACAACCCTAGCAAAGTCTCTCCAGGGAGCAAGGTGGACAGAGTACTGCAAGAAAGTCAAAATCAGCCACATACATACATTACCAAATGCTGATGTGTAAACAAAACTAATCCAGAAGGCAAGTGGGAATGACAGGGTCTTGACCTTGTCATTCATGAATGAAAAGAGCACAAAGGAACAACACAAAGACCTGCACGTCTTGCAGAGGAAAAGTCTTAGGAAAGCCTTCTTTAATGAAGGGAAAAATGCACATTATTTTGACACGATCTTGCCGTATGTTTTTGGTAGATATAATCTGAATATCAAAAGAAGGATGCAAGGAGAAGGGAGATTAGAAAAATGGGCTGGGAATTAAATTTGCTTCTGCCACTGACTTTTTACATGACCGCAAATGGATCGCTTCAGGTGTAATTCCCGTAGAAATAAACAGGAGAATCTAGTACCTCGTTTGACAGAATGGCCGTGAAAATAAAGCATCCACACTGTCTATTTAGTTTATTCATACCTCGGGGCAGACAGGGACCGTCTTGTAGAACACTTCTGTCAAGGGTACTCTCAAGTTTTTATGGCCTCCTGGATGTGGTCTGGAGGCTGGAGAATAGGCTGCAATAAAAACAAACATTCATTAATAATAAAAAGGGGCTCTGCTGCAACCAAAAGACTTCATTAAAGATTAAGCTTATATTAATGGAAGGGGGGTTCTGTGTTATATATGTATTGTCCATTTAGACCCCTCCCCTGAAATACTTACTTATAACTTTTTTTTCCGGAAGATTTGTTATATTTTGTTTTGCTGCCTGGTGATAAAGTCTCAAGGTCACAGAATAGGCACTTTTAGTGTTGCTCTTACAACTGGCATTGTAAAATTTTATTTCTTAGGGAGGTGCTGCTAGTGGAGAGGCTGATAAATTTTAATTTCTACTTCATATTGGTACATTGGCTGTAACTGTTTAATTGCACCTGCACAACTCTGTTGACAAGCTTGCTAATGGATTAGAGGCAACTGATGTCACGATAGCTGCAGAATGGCATTACAAGTAGAATATACCTTGTCCAGTCCACCGGTAGCACAGGGCAGTTGTCAAAAATTGCAAACAAATCCAGTCAGCTATTTGATCGTGCTTCACTCACATTTCTCGGCTTTCCATGGGTCCATACTAAAAGGATCCACTCCTGGCTTGATCCTTCGGTGTAACTGAGCTGGTGGCTCAGATGGACCTGGGGAGGTGTTTAAAGGTAGAACAGGTAAACCCAGGGAATTCAGGCATGGAGAGCAAGAGGAAGCAATATACTCAAAAGAGAGGAGTGTGGCTGCCGGTGGGAAGGTGGGCAGCTCCAGGGAGGTGAAAATGAGCTGCTGGTTCTGGGCTTTGAGACTAAGAGTGAAGGACTGCCGGGAGCTGTTTTGGCACAGTGGGAGGGGTGTAGATAAAACGTCGGTATTTGGATACACTGTACTAGTGGCAAATATGTCATTTCCCAACAAACTTGAATTCTCTTAGGTTTAGACCATCCGTTTTTAATGGTCAGGAGGCTACCTGAGGAGAATTATGTAACTGACTTGCACCACTTGACAAATTGCGTTGTTTGGGTTTTCTATTAATAAGAGAAAAAAAACTCTTTCAAAACGTAGGTCTCTTAGATGACTTTGGTGCTTAGATAATCATTTCACTTGCTGTTCTACAGCACAGCATTGTAAACATAATTAGTCCTTTGCATTTTTCTCATTTAATTCACTCCTCACTGCATGCATCTTATCGTGCATAAGAAGGAAGTTGAAGCATTAATTAATTTGAGCCATTTCAGAGAGCTAAAGGAACGAATTTAATCGTCTTATCATTTTGAATTCAGAGGCCAAGCACAAAGTGCTGCCTGCATGTGCGAGCATTCTCAGGCAAAATTCTTCACCTCAGATGAACTTGCAGATGTGTCATTTCCTGACTGGCATCTGCCATGTGATACCTACGTTTCCCACCTGTTGTTGTTGAAGACTTCATCACATATCCCACACCGTGGATGAATTTGTGCCTATTTCTCTGGATTCTATTTACGCTTTCTTAGCACAAATTTGAATTCACATCTGGTACATCGGTTTTAAAAACAGCATCCACCAGATGCCACATACAAATCTGTATGATCAATGAACATACGATGTTATAATTAAGAAATATACATTAAGGGCTAAACAGGTTACCACGCTAAAGAAGCCCCTGTCCTGGGCTTGCTGAGAAGACTCCAGGAGAAGCAATCTCCAAAAGAGATCCTTCCCCAGTGGTAGTCAGCTCCAATTCCCTCGTGTAACCTTTCTTCCTATTTTCATACTGTCAAAAAGAAGGGAAAGGTAAAAGGCTCTGAGTGCTTTTCCCATGTTGGTATTAATTCAGTTGTCCACTTCTGTTTTTATCTGTGGCCAGTCTCTCATATCTGTTACATCTAGCTTGACAAGTGTTGACGTTGTTCTCTCATGCTCTTGAGTGCCGTGGGAATGGATTTATGTAAGTCTCTCTCTCTTGATGCCTGTCTTTTTTATGGCTTGAAAAATGGGACAGCTTCAAAGTTAAGGTATCCGCAGTAATACTGTTTTAAGTTGTCATTTTTAAAAATGCTCCTGAATAAACTGCAGGTGAGAGTTTTGTAGAGAAAGTGGTTGTCAAGCTATCTCACTGGTCAGTTTTAAATAATTTTATTATTGCTGAAATCCATGAGCCTTCAGTAAAGCAAAAGCAACAGCGATTGTATTGCTACTGAACTGGCTTTGTCTTGAGCATGTTTTGCATAATGCTTCTCTACTCCTTTTCAAATCTGGTATCTAAACACAGTCAGTGGGGTGATTTCTGATTCCTTCTGCGCTCAGAGAAATGAGTAGAGACGAATTTCTTGTGCCTTGTGCTCTGTGCTCTGCTGCCTGTGAGGTTGTTCTTTGGAAATGTCTGAACCCATGATATGTGTTCAGGTGCTCTCTAAGGAATTTACAGGGCTGCTGTGATTTTTCACCTATTCTGATAATTCTCACGGCTTGTAGCAAAACTGTTCACCGAAAGACTGTCTAGAAAGACTTTCCTCCTGATTGGAGGAAAAAAACAGGGCTTGGGTATAACCATGGACCTGGCACTCATTGAATATGAGCTTGGCTCCTTCCAGTTGCTCTTGTTCTTAGTGTGCTTGTGTATAAGTGACTGCTTTGTCTTAACACAACTGCCATTCCACAATATTTTTTTTATTCTCCAGGTTAGATCTCCCTGCCAAAATGAAATGCAGTGTCCTTCTGAGGTGGTTCTAACACAACAAATGAGCCACCAAGTATCACAGGATGACCTCACTTGATTCACATACTGTACTCTCATTAATACAGCTCTTGTATATGCTGTTCATTGTTGCTGAAGGTGGATATCTAGAGACCTTTCCTACTTGCATTACTCCTTCTTTGCCTCTGCAATAAAATAAAATGCAATTACTTTAGCAGTCTCTGTATCCTGTAGAAATCATTACAAGTAAACGAAATAGTTTCTGTCTTTCCTCTCTGTAAAACAGATCTGAAACAATTTTTCTAAGGGGAAATTACTGTTGTTTTTTCTCAGAGCTTGTGATGCCCAAATCAAAACACCAGATCTGTGAATCCTTATATTTGGGTTCCAGACCTGGTCTGTAATTTAAAGGATGGAACTGATACCTCTGCTGCTAGCAGGAGATAGCAGCAAGTGCCTGATCCGGAAGGTGAATATTGCTGGATTCTAGGAAAGTCTGCATATGGGCATAGGGTTGAATTTTGCAGTCAAAGTCTTCTTTCTTTTTTTTACTGAGCTTACTAATTAAACTGGTGATCAATGTCTCAAACGTTTATCATTTGCTTTTTTACAGGCCTTCACCTGGAACTGCTAATGTGCAGTGAAGAGCATGGCTGTGCATTTGGGAGACCAGTAAGTTTTCCAGTTTTATATTTCAAAACTTGCCTGCCCTTCTCCTCTACCAGCAAAGCTCCTGTGTCAGCCTTTCAAATGAGGTTGAAAGTCAGGGAGATCATTGTGGATGTGAATGACTGGTCTGGATTCTCACACAGCTATGCAAGATTTAGAGTGCAGTTGAATTTGTTTGTCAAGGACTTATTTTACTTCCCTTAATTTTCTGGCATCTCTTTTCCTTCTCAATCAGAACTGTAGTTTTCAACAGCTACCAAGCTAATAAGATGCTTGGTCAGAAACACCAAAATAGATAGGGCTTGAGAGGCTGACGTAGGAGCCATGTAAATGGTCATTAAGTGAATTGGCCAAAGTAACCTTACACTGCAAGAGGAGCAAGCCCTGCTTCTGACTTATGATCTGAACCACTGGTGTAAATGCTGTGCCCACACTGCAGCACATGGCCAGGTGTCTCCACTGGTGGAGTCAGTCTGTTCTGAAAACCCCAGGCTGCCCTGGGGCCCGTGGCTTAAGAATGAAAAGTCAAGTAGCAGCACCTGCAGCTGATGTTTTGAAGTCTCATGCTTTTTTATCAGATTATTGAAGAAGGGCTTGCATTCTAACAGCTTACTGGCAGTGAAAGAAATATCATTTCTGAGAAAAGATCATCAGCTTAATTCATATGAACTTTGTCGTCTTACCTTTTTTCTTTAATTGCGTAGCTCTATGTTCCATCACTTACTCTTCTTTAACTGGTAAGTAAGGACGAAGATGCTTCTAAGTGGTTGGTCATTTCAGTGATTATACTGAACATCCAAACACTTCTGGATGTGCTGCCTTTATCCTGGGCTGAAAGGGAAAGCCCCTAGGCAAAAGGGTACTTGATGAACCTGGTGGATCCTTGCTACTACCATACTGCAGAAGGACAGAGCTAGAAACACACTCAGCATCCAGTGTTGAGGAAGAGCTTTCTTCCCTTCCCTATGCTAATCTTAGCTGCTGATGGTGTTTGGCCCTCTTAAAGTTAATCATCAGTTTATGATGTCTAATTGTTATGCTGCAGAAAACAGCAAAATGATGGGCAAGTGCTATAAAAAGTCACCAAATGAAACTATAAAAAAAAAAAAAAACTAACATTAAATTTTCATGGTTTACTTCTGAGATGAAATGACCTTTACAAAACTATTTCCTAACAATGAGCTCTTGATTTGCCTACTGCAGTTAACACTGAAGCCATCTGAGAAGCTTGGAGCATGACTTGTAGCACTTGGTCTTTTTAATGGGATTGGATTTTCCTTTCTCAAAGTTACAAGGGTAGAAAAAGTTTGCATTGCAGCTTTGCTTTTGAATTGTACTCAGCTAGAAGAACAGCTCCAATTTCTTCACAACTCTATGCAAAATTGGAGAAATAAATTAAACTGCTGATCCTAATGAAGTTTCAAGCCTCTCATCTACTTCACTGACAGCTGATCACAGAAGCAATGCAGAAACTTCACAGTGCCAAGGCATGAGTAGTCATGACAATAAAAAGATCCATAAAAGAGTTTTACAATATATTGTTGAGATCTTAGATTTGTTTTGGAGCTTTGTGAGAGGTTTTGCTTGAAGCACAGTGAGTTCAGCGGGTGATAAACTCCTAGTATTTTAATTGGAGCTAGATGAAGCATACTTGCTGCGGGGCTCAGGGTGCTGCTTCTGCTAAGATAGAGTTATTGCACAAAACTAAAGCTTCTGTATATTTAGTACGCGACTAGAAAGAATTCTACAAAACTCTTTCCCTCTTCCTTCCACCATTTTTGCTGGTGGGCACAAGAATGTGCGGAGGAAATGTAGCAGTACAGTCAGTAAGCTTTGCATGTTAAAGTTTATTCAACAGCACGCATTACCTTGCCTTGTAAACGTACGTGGAGAGCTAAAGGAACCTACCGTCTCTGGAACCCCGTAGGAATATAGCATAACTTCTCTCCTCTATCAGTAGAAGGAGGGTCAGTCTGACCCCAGGGGACGTAGTCCAGAGAATAGATTTCTTCTCTTTTTTCACTCGAGTGAGAGCATAATCAGTCTCTGCTCTCATTCTGTGAGCTTTGTGCCCTCCATGCTGAGGCTCATCACAGCCTATATGGAAACAGCAGGCAACATGGAAGTGGTAGAGGAAATGGTTTGGATACAGGGCAAGAAGGCAGCAGTTGGGTGCTTGATACAGACACTCTGTGAAGGCCTGCAAAGCCCTGTGGGTGTTCTGCTTCTTAGAAAAGTATTGCTCCTTGGTTCTTGGAGAAAAGTTCCTGTTCTCACAGTGACCTGGTTTGGAGAAATAGAATTGTTCTGCAATATGTCTGAGTGCGCAGGGCCGATCTAGGTGCCTCAGAGGTGAGCGATACCAACCTAGACAAGGGAATTTGAAATTGGCTTGTTAACATGCCAAAGTTTCTTGCTTCGTGTCCCTAACTAGAGAGTTGAAACTAATGGAAAAGACAAGACAAATCAGCCCAAAGGAATGCAGGTCTTATTTCATACTGCATCCCCAGCATGTTCACACAAGCTGCTGAGTGGGTGGGCAGCGCTGTGCTCACTTCTGCCTGTTTGGAACTAGTGAAAATGTTTCTAAGTCAGATGCTTCTTTTTTGAACTTTTGTATTTTTCACTGTGGAAACCACCGATGGTCAGGAAGTTGAAATGGTTGACTGAACAAAAAATCTATGCTAAGTTAAATGCCTGAAAGAAAGCTGGTGAAAGCCACTGGGCAGACTGCATGTTCACGACTGAAATTTGCAGCTCCTTGTTTCTTGTCAGCACTTACCAAAGTGTGATGGGACAATATTTGGGGCATTAAGTAAGGCATTTACAGTCTGAAGGTAGTTAACTTACCTTGGCTTTTGGCTAATTATGGAGAAAGACACGAGCAATAGAGTTCATCTGATGCACTGTGAGTAAAGGAGTAGACAAAACACACAGAGGACATCCATGAGAATCCTACAAAAACTTGAATCAAAACAACATAGAACAAATCTATCAACGCCCTTTTTGGAGGAAGAGAACAAAATGAGAGTGCCCTTTCAAATTCAACTAGGCTTTCACTTGAACAGAAAAACTTCTCCCACATAAAGAACCTTTAGGGATTCAGTTAAAATCCTTTAAGATAAAATATATACCACATCTCACTCTCCTCAAAGAGCATTATTATGTTCATTCCCATTAACTCCCCTCCTCAGGGTGTTTCCTATGTCTGCAGAACATATTATGGCCATTTGCTTCTGAATGTTTTTGCAGGAATGTCACTGAATTTAAGTCAGAAAATGGCTAGAACTGTGAACAACATTTCAAAGACTATAATAAGAGTGTTTCAGCAATAAATAAATCAGCAGATAAAAATGTTTCACCAATTCCCTGTCAGGCCAATCACAGTCAGAGCTTGAAGGTGAAGGTAAGATGATTTATTTGATGTATCCTGATATGACACTATCCAAGTAGACCTCTGCCAACATTTTGACTTTAATTTTGCATTGCAGAACCCTACTGAAAGACGCTTGGCTGCTGTTGAGCCATTTATTTATTTCTAATAGCAGCCCTTTCACACTCAGATGTGAAGTTGAAAAACTGGCATTGATGTTCCTCTACCAGTCTTCATGTTCTTTACCCTTGAATATCTGTGCTGCGTATATGTGCAGGTCCAGCTTCCTCACTGGGCAAAGATCTGTTTAATCCAATTCACAGGGAAGCAGTATGGTCATTCTTGTACTAAGAAAAATTCTTCATGAGGATTAGGTAAAACCTGTTCATAAATAGGCAGTCTTTTAACTCTTCCACTGTTGTGCCTACTGGCTCAGGTGGTTTTTCTATCTAGGTAGGAATACTTTGATTTTGAAGTTCAATTCTCTCACTTTCTCTTGCAAGCTTAAACATATTCTATATGAGTTTCCTACTGGACAGAGAAATGGCAAGCTCCTGTTTCTCAGGAAAACGAGTTCATTATCATCAGCTCTGTACAAAATGGTTTGCCAGATATTCTTAGCAGGATGTAGAGTCACTCCTGGGCCTGTGGTGCAGTCCTTGTGGTGTGGAAGATGAGCTTTTGAAAGCGTTTCAATTTTTATTCATTAGCGTGTATAAAAATAGGACAGCTGACCTATCCAGAAGCAAACAGACAGCTTGTACCACATCACCCAGCAAAAGTATGGGAAAGAAGACAGGAGATGCACCAAGGTACAGCAACGCTGTGTCAGAACAAAGGGTATCTGCCCCTCACTGTCGTCTGCCAGTGCTTGCTGCTGGCAGCTACTTGGAGGACAGGCACATGAAAGAATAAAAAAGTGGAAAGTCTTGCAAGTAATTTTTCCTCTTCAATAGATCTCTCTTCCAGGTACTTGCTTGGGCCCAAGCACTTGGAGCCCTTCTAAACTTTTCGCGGCAACATCTTTTGTCAAGTAATTCTGCAGGCTGACTACCTGTTGTGTTAGCTTGCCAGCCATCTCCTCTACCTTCAGGCTGTCTTCTTCTAGCTTCATTTTATGGCCATTCATTTCTGTATTGGAGCAGACAGTGCACAATTGGTGCCCACCTATCTGATTCTAGCTGCTCTTGGTCTGTAGATCACTGTCTCACCTGCACTAAGATGGCCCCTTTTTATAACGAGCACCGTATGGAAATTGTTCCTTGTCTGGAAGCTGTCCTGTAGCTGTGCTCATTGTAGTTAACTTTCTCTGGATGTTTTTGTTCTAATGCAGCTTTTTTTTTCTTTTCAGATTATGGGAAAAGAACCACGTTCTGTACTGAAGATGTGGAAGAGCCATAGATTTCATAGTCAGATAATTAGGTTTACTTTGTTGTTCATGTCTTTTTGATATGTATTATTTTTTCTTCTACTTTATTTTTGCTATTTTGACTCTTACTGCATTTCCATTTTAATGGAACTTAAAATCCTAATGCCAACCTGTAATTCCTGATGGATAATTATCAGGTTTGAATCCTTAGTCTCCTATGTGAAGCTATGAATTTTTTTCCATATGCAACATTGCCTACGTTATCATTCATCTGCCATTCTGTTGCCCAGCCCCTCAATATTCAATGGCTTCTTAGCAATTCTTCCCAATCTACCCTCATTCATAGCATCTCAAGTAATTTTTTATCAGCAGTAAACTTTCTCACCTTTTGCCAGTTATTTGTGAGCACACTGAATATCAGTATAGATCCCTGGGGAAATTAGCTGATGATCTCTCTCCATTGTGGAAGCTTACCTTTTTGTTTTTTGTCTTTTAATGAGTTGCTTTTCCTTGAAAGGACTTTTCTTTCATTCTATGGCCATGCAACTTCTGCATACGTGTGATTAAAAGGAGAAAAGTCAAAATATATCATCACCAGAGGCAAAAATTCTGCAGATCACAAAACTCCAGGCAAAGCCAATCTGTGCTCGAAAGGTAAATACAGCCACACAGGAGTCATGATTGATGTCCTCCCAAAAGAATCATTTAAATCCAGACAGCTAGGACATGTTATCCCAAAATGTGTCACCAATGCTCCAGACAGGGCATTCACTGTGCCAGGGAAAGAATTGCCAGGCATCTGCAAAGAGGCATAAATACCTAGGCGTAAAGGAGGCTTGCTTACTTTATTTCACTAAACCGTTTCTCTGCTTCCATTCTCTAATGAGCATCGTAAACTCTTGCACCCCTGCTAAAAAACAAACAATAATGTTGCCTCCTCTTCTTTTGCCCATAGGGTGTTTCCCCATTACATTCTGTCTCTTCCAGAAGCCATTTGCCTCTTCCCCAGCTACAACTTCTCTACCTGCTCCAGCAGCTGCTTTCCTTTCATGCTGACCTGGGAGGTTTCTTCATCTGGGCATTTTGGTAATCCCGTTTGCCCCACCCTTTGCTTTCGTGCAGCTCTTGGTGAGCTGCAAAATGCAGTGGGACGGTGGGGAGCAGCCTGGGGTTAACCTCTGCCAGGAGCTGAGGAAGGAGGAGCTTTGTGCACCGATCTTGCTGAAGAAGAAAATGATTCTGAGGTGTAAACCTTTAGAGTAGTCAGATCTAAACCATATACTGCTTAGAGTTTGTTAGTTGCCTGAGGAAAATTTGGAGATATGAGCCAGACAATTTTTTTTTCTTCAAGCTTTATCAGGTGGTGAAATGAGGATATTCTCTCTTTCTGAACATTCTTTCCCCGTTGAACTGCTTCCCTTCTTACACTGGCAGAGCCATGCAGTGTTCTTGCAGGTCTCTCATTCCGGAGTTGATGTCGGTAGAGGAGACTGTGGCTGTGCATGCTGATTTTGGCCAGCTTAGTGAGATTCACATGTGGTTGAGCCGAGAGCCGTGGTCAGGCTGTGTTACTCTTTCCTCATGTAACTATCATCCTAGTTGTGGACACCAAGCGCTGCCAACTTTGACAAAGTCCTGTGGCTTTGCAAACAAGAGCAGCATCTTCTAATAGAATACGTTGGGCAACTTTTACTGCAGGTATCAAAATAGCTCCCGAGAGCCACAATAATGGGGTCTTACAGCAAAAGTAGTTTAGTTACACAAAGTTCTTCATGTCGGGACCACTGTTCTATTCAACACATCTGCATTCATATCTCAGGTTTAGGAGTCCTGGAAGGCTAGCTATGAATTTCTTTTATGAAAACCTTTGTGTTCTCTAAGTCAGCGCATATCCCCACTATGTGTTGAGCTATGTTGTGTTGGTATCTCTGCTTAGAGGACCTGTTTGTTAATTACTATCTGATCTATTTAACTAACAGTAAATGAGTCAGTATTACAGGATTGGGTTGGTTTTCTATCAGAGCAAGTTGATGGTTTATAAAAAGACACAGTAATGACGTGGATGTTCAGGAAGTACCTACAGTATCTTGTTGTTGTTTGTTTCCCCCCCCTTCCCACTCCCCCCCCCAAAAAATGTGGTGGTGCCTGAACACATAGAGTCATTAAGGTTGGAAAAGACCTTTGAAGCTCATCTAGTCTGACCAATGGGTATTGCTGAGAGCCAAAAGGAAACCTTCTATAGGATCTTTGCCTGGTGCTTTGAGTTTACTGATTACTGCCATGTGAAATATCAGTCCTCATGTCATCCCCTGCTCACTTGTGTCACACTGGAAGGACAGAGTCCTATTTGGTCAGTCCCCACCTTAACCCTACTCTCAGGCTAGAAACTCAACTATTGCACAGTGGTTCTTAAAATCAGTTTGTCTTAAGATGGAGCTGCGAATTATAGCTGTTTCAATCCACAGCCTCCTTCAGTTGTTTATTTTGTTGAGGGCAGCACTAAAGACCCCCCCAAATATTGATTCTCTTCAGAGGATGTACTGAACTGCCAATATGAGGGAGTGATCTCTAACTGCGTGCAAGTGCTTTTACTGACTTGAGGCATATTTCTGCAGGTGCCACATTTGGGGGAAAAAAAGGTCTTGAATGAGACCCTAGAACATGCTAAATATTGCAGAGAAGCATCCCAATGAAGTATTTACAGATTAAAAAAATCCTGATTCTGAATTTACAAAACATGATTTCCTCCATCTGTGCTCTGTGCTCATCATTTTGTTACAAACCATTCCATTCCTTCATCACTAATAGCTGTCTTTGAATGCTGAATTGGCTCATTAGGCTCTTTTATCCCATGAATGAAATTCTTCCTCTGAGTCAAACAGGCACTCCTTTATTTTTCCCATTGGTTCTTAGTTAAATATATCAGACTGCTTCTAAGTAATCAATAAAGCAGCATGGAAAGACTTCTAATCTTTGAACTGGTGTGGTGCAGGTCTTTTCATTATAATGCCAATGTTTCTTGAAGTCCTGTGTTGGAATGGAAGCTGTTTGCCATAGGTTTAAGCATACAATTACCCTGTTTGCTTTTGTCTGAAGGCTTCTTCCTTTCCTTGCAAGAGAGGATAGCAATTCTAAAAGCCTGACTTGGATTGTGATACAATGTGGCAGTATCTCTGCTAATTAGCAGGGTCATTTTTGTGTCAAACAGCTGTGTGAGTTCGCAAAGAACTGGGCTGCTTTGCTGAATTAGTCTGTCATTCAGTGGAGAAGTTGAAAGGAATGCTCTGCCTTCTGCTTTGATGCTATAGCTCTTCCTGGTTGTTAATACCAGTATTATGATGATACTGCCTGCTGTAAATTCACTCCTTAAGTGATCTGTTGAGCAGACTCTGTTTCTAAATATGGGTGTAAGTCACTTCCTTCTGTTTTACTGGCTTAATAGACTAAGTAAATGAATACAGATGTTTGATTGCTCCCTGAATGAGTGAGTGGAAAACCATGAGTGATTTTCTCAGCATATCATCTTCCAGTAAAGTGAATATTTTTTGGGACCTGGACATCTAGATGTAGTGATGAGGTTGCTGGTTAAAATCCTGCCAAAGATGAGTGAGAAAACTGTCCAATGTACTGCTCACAACTTCAGGGAGGGATGAGAGGGACTGAGGTTATGAGTACATCAAAACATTGTTGCAAGGAAAGCTAAGGCCACTGTGTGGTAGTGGAGGGGAAAAGATGTTCTTTCTGCTCCAGTATGTAACTGAAAAATTGTGATCCTGAAACATCATGGCTCTGTTACCTTGCATTGGTTTTGATGTCAGGCTAAACCAGAGGCCATGGTGCAAGCATCACCATCCAGATGGCAGCTTTACTGAGAGTCAGTGGGAGCCAACTCTTCCTTTTTTTTTTTTCGGTAGCAGGTTGCATTAAGTACAACAATGTGGGAAAAGCATGGGTGACAATTTCTGATGCATTTGCCATCTTGGGGTGTTTAGATAATGGTTTTGGTTAAACTAATGCCTTGTGAGATTGTGTGAAACGGAAAGAGATGAAGGCAAAATCCAAATAAGAGCCATTTGTTTGGTAGTACACAAGAGATGTGTCTATGAGCTGTCATATCATGATGCTTACCATGAAATCAGCCCAACACTAATGCAGACAAGGCAGCGTGTTGCTATGGCCAGCAGCAAGCTGATGCCAGCACACTGTGCATTGTAACCTGGCATGAAAAAGCAGTTGTTTCATGGGAGCACATGGGTGATTTAGAGGTTGATAACAAAGTAGGGTATTTGGACCTTCAGATTTAATTTCTGGATGTGTTTCTGATGTGGTTTGTGATGCTTCACAAGTTACTTACTCTTTCTTCACTGAAGTCACAGAGAGATTAGAAGATTTGAGTGTTGTAGGGCAGTTTGAGAAGTTGCATTGAAAGCCAATTATTCTTATAAGATTGTCCAGTGTTGTTCATAGAGCAAGGCTACGAGACACTCCACAATTCATGTGAGTCTGAAGACAAAACTGTTCAGAAGTCCATGACAGGTGAAATGATTGATAAGAAATGGCAGTCTGAACTAATTCCAATTTTGCTTCCAGTTTGGGAGCTTCTCCTCAGGAGAGCAAAACCTGACATGTGCCACTCTGAATCCTCATGGATGGCACAGTCTTATTGCATTTGTAGCTATTGTTATTAAGAGTCACACAAGGTAACAAATGCTCCTTAAATATTTAGGAAGTTTGATCTAGATGATTTTCAAGTAATTTTAGTACTTGGTCCAAGATTAACAGATGTGGTCTCTACTGTTTTCCTCTGGATACATTTCAAAATAACTTGCTTTCTCTGTAAGGTTGTGGCAAGCTGCAAAAAAAGTCTGGATCAGACTTCACAGAAATTCTGCAGCTGATGGAAAATTTGAAGCCAAGCATCTCTGTGTTATCAATAGCGAAAACTGTTGCCGTATTGGGTTAGCTGTGATGTAACTCAGGAAGTGCTGTTATCTGACCCAAGTACCTGCTATCATACATTCTCTAGGCTTGGGGAAACAATTGGTGTCCTTAGATCTGGTGTTATGCAACCTGACGGGGCCAGAGGCTGGGTGCAGCTCCTCAAAGCAGCACTTTCTGGTTCTTAATGAAAAGCCCTTCCACTGGAGTGTTCTGCTTTTTCACACCCAGGACTGATACTTGGAGTGTAAGTCAACAGCTGTTCAGCTGAATTCAAACCACTTCAGTGTCTGCCAACAAGCCAGCAGTCAGCATTAATATCCCATAGACAATGGAAACAAACCAGCCACTTGTTGAAGTGGGGGAGTCACTGTTGTGCAGCACAAAATCAAAGGCCCACTGTATGCAGAAGTGGTTTTTTTGAAAATGCTGTGAATACTTACTAGTCCATATGGCCTCAGTGTGCTGGACATGTGGAACAAACACCACGTAATTGAGGTCAAGTGAGTTCTTACGGCTGCTATCCAGCACTAAGGCAAACCTTGGAGCTGGCTTACCTGCTGAGACGTACAACACAGCTGGGTGAGGTTAAGCAGAGGAGTGTTCATGGGACACAGGGAATAAAGTGCTGTCACTGATAACCCATTTTCATGGTGGCTTTGTGGAAGCTTTGATCTACTTAAAGTAGGGTAGCTATGCTGCAGTCAATTAAGCTACACCTGAAGATAACCCATAAAATAGGGATCAGTGTATTTACTATCTATCTGCCTGACAGACATGAGGAGAGATATTGTGCCACTTTTAAACATGTGGAATATGTTTTGTATGAATTTTCAGTGTGATAATTTCTTCCTGTGTGTCCTTCTGTCGTGACCATGTCTCTCCATGACAAGCACCTACCCATCGGTCTTAAAAATAAAAGTTGCCCCTTGACAATTGTGTTATAAATATTAACTTCCTACCAGATCTTGTGGCAGAGAACATAGAGTAATTTTGTGAGAGGTCATTGCAGGGCAGAGATTTCCTTCTTCGAAAAGGAAACAGGTGTTGAGTCCAATGTCAATCCAAATAACCATTCTAACAGCATTCCCCATGTGTTGAATTTCTCTCTGCACAGCGGTGTGAGTTAGGACTCCAGGTTTTTTTCCTCATAGCTGTCTCTACAGTGCTTAGAAGAAGCCAGGTGTGTAAGAAAGCCAGTGAAAAAGGTAACCTATTCTTTAAGAGGGAGCTGCTTGTAGATAGGTAGGTAGTGTCTCATCATACTGCCTGTTGATAACCGCTACCATGCTTAGGCTTTGCTGCCTTACTATGCAGCACATCTAGAATTTCCCAGTATTAGGAATTCTTGGGATACCTGCCAGTAACTCTGATTCTAGCTTGATGGGGACAAGCAAAAGTAGGGAAAGATCTAATCTAAGATCTAAGACCTGATTTCAGCAAAGAATCCCTCTAGACAAGAACAACTACTTACGGGAAGGTTTCAGGATGAAGATATTACAGCACGGTGGCAATGTGCAAAATGGATTTAGTCCATTTGAGTTGAACTATTAAAAATATTTGTGATTTAAAATGCTCAGGCACTGAGACTTTCTTCACAGAAACAGAATTTGCTAAAATGATCCCCCCTCATGGTGGCATGTGAGTTGTAAGGCGGTTGCAGTTATTTGTACAATGCTCCTCTGACTGTAAACTGTGTTCATTAGCCTTATGGCCTTCTAATGAATTCCTTTTAAAACATGTGGCTACAAGACTGCTTTGAGAATACAAGTTCCAATCCTAGCCAAAGCCTTTTTGTATTCCAAACTCCATCTTGCACTCTTCAGTTATCTGCAAAACTGTTTCTCTGCTTTTTGTTAACTACAAACCGCATCTCTTCTGCTATGCACTTGCACTCTGCTTCTTCTGTCCCTCTTAACTCTGCCTGGGGGATGACAACTTGGAGCTTCAGCCCCATCTTTTAAAATAGATTGCTCTGTCAGAAAAATGCATACATCTCTTGGATGCTAAACATGCTTCTCCAGGTCGTGAGAATGTTGCTTGCTGGGGCATGGTCAGATAGGACACTCCTTGCAGTTTATTTTCATTAACAGAGAAACTGGTAGAAGGAAATGGTGTTGACTGATAACCTAGAAAAATCTTTTGTATGAAATTTTGGAGAGTTGATCCACCTGCTGTGCTTAGGTCTGGGATCATTAAACAGAACAGTTTTCCCTCTTTGCAGACATGCTATTGCAGGCAGAAGAATGGCCCAGCTTCTTCTGAAGGTCTGCAGATATGGGGTGATTGTCTGCTGCCTGTCAGCTGCAGCAGCATTTAAATCTTTAGGGCATGCATTCACTTTCGTTCTTTGGATACAGAATCAAAGTCTAGATAATTTGTACCATTATTAAAAAGTTACTCTAAGTAAATAACAAAGACACTGTTGCAAAGGGAAATAGGCTTCTTGTCTTTTGTTTTATGTTGGTCTTTGGGTTGTGCTATCATTATGATGCCTGAGTGCACAAGCACACTAAATTATGTGGGATTTACATACCAGGTGATGAATGACTTGGATTCCTCCTCATCCTCATGCATATGCAGAGGAGCACTTACTTTGTTACAGACATGCACATATTGTATTGATATATTCAAGAAGCAGATTTGGTTTTGCATTTGGCTGAGAAAGTGGTGACATTTGCAGTTGTGTGGCCCATTTCTTGTGAATTCTGGTGTGAAATATGTTCCTGGTTGCATGAAGCTGACAGAACTGAGCTACAGGCCTAACTGGCTTTAGCCTTCTGTATATCCCATTAGTTTTTCTAGTTTTTAGGGAGGCAAAGCCCTCTCCCCCTTATTGTCCCCTGTGGACATATTTAAGGGGAATGCTATTAAAAAGCATCTCTAGAAAACTTTCCACACCTCTCCTTCTTCCTGCAGGGTTGGCCACAAGAGGGAACAAGCCAACTCAGCTTTCAGCATGCCATTGCTCAGAGCTATGCTTGCCAAGGAAGGACCCCACAGGATTTCACTATTGTAGAGTAGATGCATTACTGGGAGAAAAGAGACGGCTTTTATGGGGGCGAGGCTGTGCCTTCACTACTGCTCAGCCACTTGGGAAGTCTGTAAAAGCTTTCTGAAATACCAAGCTCCTCCCAAAGCACCACTTGATCCAGTGCATTTTCAGATTCAAAGTTAAGCCTTAAAACTTATCCCTGTGCAAAGACCACCCAAAACTGGCTGGTTGTGCAACAAATTTCTGTTTATAATTTAGTGCAAGGGTCAGATAACTTTGCTATGGTTCAGGTTATCCACCCAGAGAAAGCATGCTCTTTTGCTAAGCATGGGATGCATGAGTCACTTCTATTACCCAGACCTCTAGACATAACATAAAATAGATGGCATGAAATAGCATTAAAGATATTAAAGATGGGAGGAAATTAAGTGTTTTCCCCCTTGCATTTTTGAGCTATAGTGTAATGGGTTTCTAGTGCAAGCTCAGCTACTAATGCACAGATAGGAAGTGAGGACAAACAGTAGAAACCTCAAACTTACTGTAGGATTCAGAAAACCCAAGTCAAGTAAAAAGTAACACAGAAGTGCTTTTGCAATATGAATTTAGTGTTTAGTTTCCCAGCAGGGAATTAGCTTTTATCTACTTCTTAAAAATGTTAGTAAACTGGGTTTATCTTAAGCTGCTTAGAATTTGTGACCCTGGCTTATTGCAGAATTTTCTTTGTTTGACAATGACCATTAAGCCAACAAATCCATATTTTCTTTTTTCATATTTAAAGCTGCATTCTTCAGAAACTAAATTCTTGCTCAACTTAAGCATCCTAATTCAGGTCATTTCTGTCATGCATTCTGTTATGTTCTTGTGGGCTGACGAGAGAATTCAGTCTAGCTTCTCACACCCTTTAAATAGAAAGAAATTATCTTTACCTTTTCTAAAAAGTGTGAATTTTTAATATCAGATTTCCCCAATTGGAAAGAAATAGTTTGAAGGAGGGCTGTACTCATTATATTACATTATTGTGCTTAAGAACATTGGCTCCCACTGAATGCTTGGGAATGTTTGCACATGGATTTCTTTGTTAGGACTCTTTCTTCCTTGTGACTGCATTTTGCAAAAATGCAAAACCAAGCACCCTGCCCTATTAACAGCAGATAAATCTATGGTATTGCTGATGGACTTTCTCCCTGACATTCTCTAGTGTAGAAATGTTTTAAAAAGTCAAAAGCTATATGCCAAATACAGTACTTTTCTCTATTGCACCTCAGGGAATGCAGGCAATCTTTTAACCATTGAAGTCATAGACTTTAAGGCTAAATATTTTTAACAGTTTTTATAGATGTCTTTCTTAAGCTTTTCTTTCAGAGATTTTGTGATCATAAAGCAGGATGGAAGGAGTTTGTCTAACCAGTGTATCAAAGCTTCATTCTCATATGGTCACTTGCATGCATCCGTTTAGGAGTAAAGATTGCCTGACTTCTGTGGCTGCTCTGCTAGTCAGGAACAGTTGCTGTTTGTTGGCCAGAAGATATGAACGTATTACTTGAGCTGCGCTGGGTCTTGATGCATGGTTTATCCCAACTCAAGTATGTTTCTTGTAGTTCTAAAATCTGTAAATTCATACTGATAACATAAATTGGAAGTTTCAAATGCTGTCTCGAAAGCATAGCTGTTGTTTCATATTTAAGGAAATGCAAAAGGAAGAAATGCAAGACAATAGAAAAAGAAAATCTATTTATTTGACTTAGCTCAGCAACACTGTTTCCTGCTCTCCTTGCTAGGTGAAGGTTAAAAAAGCCCATAGTCCAACTTTTTGAAATACTCAATAGTCTTTTTCTTTATCTTACTCTTCAAAAGTACATTTATGTATGTAGGATGTTCTGTATATAATAACTGTAGCAAAAAATTGATGATCAGTCATCAGTTCCAGCCCTGACTTCCATGTCTGGACATTAGTTGGGGCAGAGCTGATTTTGAAGCGCATCGGATGTATTACCTAGAGCATAGCCTGATTGGTTCTACTTTGAAAACAAAACAAAATGCCCACAACAACAAAAACAACAACAACAAAGCTACAGGCTCCCATTACTTGGAAAGGATGCTGTATATTTGCTCTCTTCTCCTAGGCATTGCAGTCTCAATGTTTTTTAGCAGCTGAAGACTATGGGATTGTCTTTTGGAAGACTTCTACAGAAATGTTTGTTTTCATTGCAGATGATGGAGCAAAGGAGCAGCCTAAGCTCTTGGCTGTCTGTAACCTGAAGTGTGGCTTAAACCATGAGCTGCAGCTTTCTGGAAGGATGACTTGGTGACCTGAATCTATTGTACATGCTCTAATGGTCAAGGGGCAAAGATGCATTAGCACTGCTGCAGCTGAGTGTGGTTTCTGAGGTAGATGAAATTGGTGGACTTACCAGTGTTTCCCTAGGGGGAAAAAAAAAACATCAGGGCAGCACAAAAGGGAGGACATGTAGAAAGATTACTATAGAATAGTCCTCGTGCTGATGGAAAGGGATTCTGAGCAAAGGAGTAGCAACCTGCAGTCACATAACTGTGCTTTAACTGTGCAATAGAAGGATAGATTCTTTCCTGTTCCTGGCAGAAAGCTCCTAACCTTACCTTGTGCGTACAGAACTATTTTGCTGAACTTCAAATAAGCAAACGTCTTTTTAAATGTATCTGCAGACCTGACAGGCTGGATCTGTACAGTCTCTGACATCAACTTCTCTCTCTGATATTGTTAAGATGAGTTTCCCGATGCAGTACAGTGCTAAAGAGGAGACTGTCTTCTCCTATTCTTAACCTTAGAGATTTTACACCCAGCTATTAGTCTTCGCAAGTGATATCATTTTCCTCTTTGGCATGAAGCAGGAAAGCCTGTTGAAAACCACAGCATCCGTTGTAGGGATGGACATATTCATTGCTTCAGCCCGGGGCTCAGCTGTGAACACAAGCAGGACTTTAAAAGCCAAAAAATGTTTGGCCAAATGTTTTTGTATAATAGCTTCCTCAAAGCTCTGAGCTGTAGTCAAACTTTTCATTAAAATAACATGGGAACACACAAGAAAGCTCTGGATTGTAACGTTGTCCTGATGTTTGTGTTCAGCTTATGAGAGAGTCTCTAGCATTGCATGGAGTAAGGAGTATCCAGAGGGCAGGCTGCAGGCGCTGCAGGTTCTGTGCTGGCCTCTGCCGGAGCCTTCCAGCAGCCAAAGCAGAGCTGGGTAACTGTGGCATTGCTGCACTTCCTCTTCAGCCATGCTCACTACAGCTAGAATGAGCTGCTTGCTCTTGTGTTGGTTAGTGGCGTTGCTGGTACGTGTTATCAGAAGCAGGGAATGCGTCCTGATGATTTTGGTAGAGAAATGGAAGACCTGATGTCATTGTGATGATAGTTCAGTTTAGCCAGCGACCCCTGTGACCGGATAGGCTGCCAGACAGTGTTTACAACAGCTATCCCACTGCTGTGCTGCCCAGCCTCTGTGAAGCCCTACAAGGGCACAGGGACCAGATCTAGCTAGTGATCTTACCGGGGCAGCAACGTTTTATGCCTGACTGCATCTGGACCTTATTCATTTGCAACCAGCCAGAGCTTTTAGTACACGATGGGAGAGGATGTGCTCAGCTGCAAAGCCAGAGCTCAGATGAGAGAGCAACTCTGCATACTCCAAGACCCAGTTTTTCATCTGGCAGCACAAAGAAATTCACATACAGGATGGTTGTTATTTATGAAACTGTATTTATTTATTAGTGGCCGGCGCTGGGTACGGCCTTTATTGTAAGTCAGTTAAATGAAGGGATGTTGTTCCTCTCCTATCCCAACCATGGGATGTTTTCAGGTGACTTGACTTCTTTCCCACTAAGAAGTAGAATAACTCATGAGTCACTTCCAGAAATGAGAAACCAGAGAGTCCACAGTTACTCGCACATCTGTTCCACTGGAGGGTTGCAGCAGTGGGCATGTGGTTGTTCTAAACATGGAATATGTGTTCTTCCATTTTATCCTTGATGACCCATCGGGTACCTGGAATGAAAACTGTCCCACCTTTCACTATTTTCTTGATCATAATGTCTTTCCTAGATCTGTAATTGTTCTTCATGGATTGTAAAGCCAGATTAATTTGCTATATTGAAAAACATCGATTCTGATTTATATGGTTTCAATTATGCAGTGTGCATTTTATTTTATGTCCAGTCTGAGACTAGAAAACTCTCCAATGTGAATATGTGCTGTGCAGCAGACCCTGCTTCTTTTCTCTTATTACTCCAATGGAGAGAAGCATGTTTGCTTACAGAAATATTTCTGAACTTCCTTTTTTATTAGGGAACTCTGTTGCCTTCCACAGTCACTTCATGGCATTGTGGCACTCTAGGACTAGTTTCATGGCTTACTCTGTGGCTGCAGAATACCTGCAAAATAAACAAGCCAGCCTGGTGCTAAGCACAACATATGATTTGACTAATTAATTTGAATGCAACAATGTATTTTGCTTTTATATTAGTAGCTCTTGAAATGCATTAACATGCCCCTTCCTCATGTGAGCGTATTTGTTCTGTGTCTGTGAACTCCTTAACTCATCATTACATGCAATTTCAATTTCACTCTTGAAAAATTGTTGAGTAGAAGCACAGGTCTGCATTGTGCTGTGTGGGCTTGCTGCCATGCTCTGGGCATTGCTGTCCTCTGTGTCATAGCACTGGGCTGGATGGACAGTAGCTCAGTGAGTGCCCTTGAGTGACACGCATATTTGCACATGGGCAGCAGGCTGTCCTGAAGATCTGTGCTACCAGATCTGCTGGCCTGGCCTGTGCTCTTGCTCTTATCCTGAGATGGAGACCTCACTGGTGTGGCTCTTTGTCAGGTTGGGTAACCCAGTCCCTACCTGCCCGTTCTGGCACTGCAAATTAAAGGGGCTTTGTAAACACTTGTCAAGATTTTAAATCCCTATTATAAAACATTGGAGAAATGTTGGCTGCTGGCCTTAAATCTTACTGCCTAATTCAATGTTTTATGGCCATGAGCATTTGCTAAGTTTTCGTTTCTTTGAGGTCTAAGAGAACTGTTCAGTGCATCTTTGGAAAACACACTTATGCACTGTTTCTTTCTTGGCAAATTTCCTCCTCCTCTTCACTGTAGTGCTTATCTCACACAGCGAATGGATGGCAGAAAAACACAGGCAGACAAACCTGCTTCTTTTAGAAAGTGACCTTTTTTCTCCTTCCAGATTCTTGAAGTATTGCAGGGTGTAAGTCTGGTCCACTTAAGAGCGTATTACAGTCTTTGGCCCAAAATATGCTGTGTTAAATAGACACTATCAGATGTCTGAGACAGGTTTTTTGCTGCAGTTGTGTTCCTCTGCATCACAGGGGCTGCATGTGTCCCTTTGCAGAAGGCAGGCT